TGCTCATCTCCGTTTCAAAGCCGAAGAGCCAGCGCTGTCCGAAGACGTTTCCGTGCTCATGTGGCCGGCATGACTAAACACCAAGGCGCACGGAACCAGAGGCTAAAAAACTGAGCTAGCTCACACTAACTCAGCTTAGGGGGAAGATTGGTACTGATGTTGCTGCCAGGCTTCCCGGAATGCCCGCCCAGTGGAGGGAGAGGAGCCCCGGGGGTGTTGGGGCCGCTTCCTCTTCCTGCTGCTGCTTCTGTGCCATGACGGGGCTTTCCCGGAACAAGGGGAGGCTGCGGGAGCCTCGTTTATTTCTTGTACTGACGTCTCTTCTCTCAAGCAGAGGTCTCTGAGGCCCCTTACAGACCGTTAAAGAATAGTGACTGCCTATTAAACTCACATGGGCAAAGAACGAGCCGTGGGCATCCTGTCGGAACACAGGAGTCCTGAACTCCGCCAGGGGATGGAGCACGACAGAGCCCCGCTGTCCTTGAGGAAAACCCCAGAGTGGCACCTGGCCGACCAGTGGGAGGCTGGCGCGTGGGGAATCGCGGGGCACACACGGCGCCACGTCTGAGGCCGGCCAGAGGCCCTGGAGGAGCTCTGCTCTTGGTCCCCGTGGCTGGCTGTGGGGTTCCTTCTCCCAAGTGCCAAGTGTGCAGCGCGTTTTCCAGGCAACTCCCTGAGAGCATGGTGTCCAGGTCACGGGAGGTGGTCGTTTCGCTCCATTCTGCTATGGTCAGGCCTCACCTGGAGTCCTGTGTCCAGTTCTGGGCACCGCGTTTGAGGAGGGACATTGCCATCTGCGGCTGGCTCGGCAGTTGGTCCCCTACCTTGACCGTGATGACCTGGCAACTGTGATCCATGCGACGGTCACCTCGAGGCTGGACTACTGCAACGCTCTCTACTTAGGGCTGCCTCTGTCGCAAATCCGGAAGCTGCAGCTAGTGCAGAATGCTGCGGCCAGGCTGCTGATGGGCCTCTCTAGGCGAGACCACATCCGGCCTATGCTGCAAGCACTGCACTGGCTGCCAATAGCATACCGGATTTGCTTCAAAGTGCTAGTTCTCACCTTTAAAGCCCTGAATAAAGCTTACCTGAAGGACCGCCTCTCCATATGTTCCCCCAAGAGCACTAAGATCAGGGAGTCTCCACCTCTTGGAAGTTCCAGGTCCCCAAGGTGTGATGGGCCTTTTCAGGTGCGGCTCCTACCTGGTGGAACGAGCTCCCAGAGGAGATCCGGGCCCTGCGGGACCTTGTGCAGTTCCGCAGGGCCTGTAAGACGGAACTCTTCCGCCAGGCCTTTGAGTAGGAGCTGCCGCCGCCCACCATTCCACCCATGTGGCATTGTCCTACTGTCGTTTCCATCCTATAGGGCAACTATTGCCTGGCAGAATGCGCGTAGAACAGCGCTACTGGGTTCACTGACCCCGTCTTGGGTGATTTATATGTAGGAAGACTAGAGCACTTTAAATATTGTATGGTTTTATTGTGTGTTTTAATGTGGCTTTGTTTTATTGTATTTTATCTATTTAATGCGGCTTTTGCCGTATGTTAGCCGCCCTGAGCCGTTGGGAGGGCGGGATATAAATCTAAAAATAAATAAAATGCTCAAGTGTTTCCAGAAGAGGGCAACCAGGATGGTGAGAGGGTTGGAATCCAAGTCTCATGAGGAAAGGCTGAAAGAGTCGGGTCTGTTCAGCCTG